ATGGGTTGAAGATCACTAATGATGCGTTGGAGAGGTTTTAGCTGGGGACTGTAGGTGATGGCCAGTGGTGTTCTGTTGGTTTCTTTCTTGGGCTTGTCCCGTAGCAGGAGGCTTCTGGGTACACGTCTGGCTCTGTCAATCTGTCTCCTCACTTCCTCGTGTGGGTATCGCAGTTTACAGAATGCTTGTTGAAGGTCTTGTAGGTGTAGGTCTCTGTCTGAGGGGTTGGAGCATATGCGGTTGTACCTCAGTGCTTGGCTGTAAACAATGGATCGTGTGGTGTGTCCGGGATGGAAACTGGAGGCATGCAGGTAAGTATAGCGGTCGGTAGGTTTTCTGTATAGGGTGGTATTGATATGACCGTCACTTATTTGTATCGTGGTGTCCAGGAAATGGACCTCCCGTGTAGATTGGTCCATGCTGAGGTTGATGGTGGGGTGGAAGCTGTTGAAATCATGGCGAAATTCTTCCAGAGTCTCCTTCCCATGGGTCCAGATGATGAAGATGTCACTTATTTGTATCGTGGTGTCCAGGAAATGGACCTCCCGTGTAGATTGGTCCATGCTGAGGTTGATGGTGGGGTGGAAGCTGTTGAAATCATGGCGAAATTCTTCCAGAGTCTCCTTCCCATGGGTCCAGATGATGAAGATGTCATCGATGTAGCGTAGGTAGAGAAGGTGTAAGTGGACGAGAGCTGAGGAAGCGTTGTTCCAGGTCAGCCATAAAAATGTTGGCGTATTGTGGGGCCATGCGGGTGCACTGATTCCGGGCGAGAGATTCTTCCCCCTGCGGACGGCTGTGTGTTCGTATCAATATGGATTTTAGTCAAGGGCACTCCTCGGCAGCCTCTTGGTCAGCAATTGGCATATCTCTGTTTACAGCCATTCACGGTCACAGCAGCCTGCCATATCCAGGCAAGCAAAAATGGATGTTACAAGGGGGGTTCCTGTCTGGCTACAAGGGTTTTCAGTGGGGCTTGGCTTTCCAGGCCCCACAACCTGCAAGTGGCGGAGTTCACAATTGTGATCAAAGTGCTCAGTGTACGGCGTTGTGGGATAGTGGTGTTAACTCTTGCGCTATGGTGTTCTCAGTAGATACACAATGACCCGAAGTTGCTTGGGGGATGTGGGGTTGCATAATGGATGCTTAGGAGATAAATTTAAGTGCAGAGACCTGTGCAACTAAGTCAGCTTGCATTGATCTAGTGTAGACCCAGCCTGGGAGGGTGTAATTCTGGTAGGAAGACCTACCTCTAATAAAGTCACTGAAGTGTTTCCCAATGTGGCAGAGGTTTGAATGTCAAGTCTGGGGGGGACTCAGTGTGTGCAACGGACAAAAGCCCCATCTGAAATGTCTCCAATGTCCCTTTCCACCCTGACAGGCTACAGATCAACATCCATGTTTTTCTCCACATTTCCCCATCCTCCTAGGGGAAAGGCAATGGCTGTGGCGGAGGCTGAGGTAAGGGGTTGTCATGAAGCTGGGGATGGGTTCTGGCAAGGGAGAGGGGCAGTAAAGGTACAGGAGGGTGTGAGCTGCCCTAGGGAAATACCTGGGGCGAAGGGGGAGGGGGAGAATGGGAATGGATAAACCTGTCAGAACTTACTCAAATTAGGCCCATTTTGAAGGAGCAGACTTCTTGGCTTTGGGACATTCCCTATTTGTGGAACAGGAAACAGCCCCTGGCCAGGGCTGCAAAAACTTTCCAGACTCCCTATGCTACATCCCAAACTGACTGATACATTTCCTTATTTCTCACTCTCCCAGACTGTATGCCAGTGCTCTTCCACATCCTTGTAAAGCAAGCCATTAGCCAATCTATGTGGGATGCCACTAGAAACACCCATGGTTTTGAAATGTAGCAGCTGGTTTTGAATTTAGTTAATATATGTCATGTTAATTTTGTATTGTAATTGTTTGAATAGCATGCTGTACCAAGTCAAATACTGCTTAGAGAAATCAAAGTATATTACGTTAATGCTATTTCTTTATCAACCAAACTTCTAATCTCCTCCTACAAAAAAATCCAATTTGTTTGTGAAAATCTGTTTTCCGTAAATTGATGTGGATTGGTATGAATTGCGTTACTCTCTTTTAATTCTTTATTAATCAAATCCAGTATCAGCCCTCCATTGTCTTGCCCAGGTTTGATATGAGAGCCATTATCTTGCTCATCCTTTTCATACTTTTAAAATATTAACGCAACCTTAGCTTTCTTCCAGTTTTCTGGTGTTTCCCCAGAATTCCAAGGCTGATTTGAAAAGCAGCATTGATGGTTTAGTGAGCTTCTCTGCCTGCTTTTAAAAAATTCCTTAATGGAAGATAACTGGAAATGTTGGTTTTAAAAACCGTCTGATTTTGATAGCTATTTAACTTCCTCATGAGTTCCTGTTGTAGTGTAAGAAATGTCATCGTAAACATAAGTCAACTGCTTCTTTTCTTCAGATCCAGTAGGGAAATATTCCACTTCTTTGGAATTCTTGTTGGTGATTTTGTCATTTGTGTCTATTAATGGACCAATACCATGATCAGCATTCTTTTTGTTATTAATATACTACTAGGGGGCTGTACCCCCTGGTCGCTAATCTTGCCAACACCACTCTCGCCGGGGGTAGGCAGTCCCGGCTCTCTCCCTGGCCACGCCAGCCTGGGCTCCTTTTCCCCCCACCCTTTGGAATTCTTGTTGGTGATTTTGTCATTTGTGTCTATTAATGGACCAATACCATGATCAGCATTCTTTTTGTTATTAATATACTACTAGGGGGCTGTACCCCCTGGTCGCTAATCTTGCCAACACCACTCTCGCCGGGGGTAGGCAGTCCCGGCTCTCTCCCTGGCCACGCCAGCCTGGGCTCCTTTTCCCCCCACCGCT